TATAAAAAATATTGCATTGATTGATATTTTTTGTCAAGCGATTTACGACAAAGGTAAATATTTCAAAACCATTCCAGAATATTTCTATATTCTTTCAAGGTCCAAAAAGCTCGAAAAAGTTTAAAAATTTGCAATAGGATGCTTGACAATAGCAAATTCATAGCAACATTTTTACGCTTACATCAACTAAACATAAACGACACATACATTTCGCAGTAATGTAGTAGAATTGTGTTTTTTCTTTAGACAGAGAAAAATTCGCCAATTAGAATTATATTTCACCCGAATAATCCTCATATCCTACCATTTTTTTATTGCTGTTCTACAAAAGTTTCATCACAAGCACATGCAAGCATAGAAATATAAATAAAAATAGATAAACGTGCCGAGCTTGCACAGAAACTTTTCAGTTCAATACAGAAAACCATAAATATTCCATTCATTACTAGTGTGAACGTGGATTGTTATCTTTTCTAGAGTATTAGTAAGGTAATATTCATCCCTAATGGTAAATATGATAGTTGGTTCCCAAGCGAGAAAAGTGCATACTTCATTTGTATTACTGAGTAAAGTTATTAGATAATACGAGAGCTTGCAACAAACACACGGCATAACAAAGCAAACATTGAGGTAGAGCGCATTTCATCAAGTGTATCTATCGAGCAAAAGAATAAATAAACAAACAATATAAATGTAAAAACCCACAAAAGACTTATTATTTAACGTATCAGCCTGGTGAAGAGTTTAAACTCTTCTATTGTCTTTTAGAGGTTAGTTAACGTAAAGTTAAACATACGGTTTTAAAATATCAAAGTAAAAGAACGGAATGATAACTCGGATTATGTTTCACGTAAAAAGCTTGAAACACTAGATGTTCATGTATCAGCTAAGAAACAAAACTCGCTATAAAATCAAGCGAGCGTGTTAAGCTCAAAGAAGCGAGTCGAAATTGTGTGATTATCGTCGTTAAGGAAAATTAAACAAACAAATATAGCAGGATACTTGTTTTTTTTTGTTGTATGAAGAAAAACAAAGTAAAAATCACTTCAAATCAATGAGAAATCAATCAATCAAAAAATCAAAGTAAATTTCGTAAATTATGTAATGAAAAATGATGCAAAAATACATCGCAGAATAGTTCTGAGCAAGAGAGATAGAGAGAAGAGAGTGAGAGGAGCGCTTACAGCTTGGTCTGTCGAGCTCTTGCTGTAGGGTACCGGTATCAAACGTTCCTGCAACTCGCCACCTATCACCTTCAAGAGTAAAGGGTAATATCATGGTTATAAAACAGAAAGATAGAGATAGATACGAGATAATAATACAAATATGTAAACAAGTATAAGTGCGCCTGAATAATCAATGTACATTTTTCAAGCTTTATAGAAATATATATCTTTTCTTTTTTCTTTCGCAATCACGTTCACTTTTTTCAATCTTAAAAAAATTAAAAAGAGCTCGGTAAAAATGACAAAAGATTATAGTTAACGTTGGCTGATTTTCGTCAAAAACAAGCTTCCAAATAAACTTATGTACAATTTCTAATCGTTTAAAAAACTTTACAATGCATCAATAAATTACAAAACCATACAAAAAACAAATTGTTCGAAACAAATTCTTATCAATTAGTAAAAGCAGTTCGATAACTATCGAAACGATTTCAAAGATAAAATTCATATTTATATTAAAGCGGATTGCAAATTGAAAAACAATTTCATCGAATATTTTCAACGATCAAACGAAATCTACAGAATCATTTTTCAACTCGCTCTTCGCCATTTTTTTATTAATTTCTTTTTTTTTTCATTTCATTGTTTTGAGTGAGTACTGTATAAGAGAAATGAAAGTGAAAAATAGAAATGAAAGATTTTCGAATAACAGATTGTAAAGAGAATGAGTAATGAAGGGAAAAAAGTAGAAGAGATAGAGGAAGATAGAAGATAGAAATAGATAACGATACATTTAATAATAACACCACTAACCAGACTGAAGACCTAATATTTTCAGTCACTTTCTTTTCCCTATATTTAGACTAGGTCTAATCAGCTGACTCTTACTATCGATTCTACAAAAGAACTCTTGAATTTATGAACTTTTGCAAATCTTCGATCGCAAACTTTCGAGGAGCACTTGTTGTGATTGAAGAGAACGATTTATAGAATGCTTTATAAACGATCGAAAAAAAATATATACACTTAATATCGACACGATAATTGTTATTCATTTCCTATCGAAGCAGGGAAATATTATCGTAATTCAAATATTTTTAAAGAACTGAACAATGCTTGTTAAGAAAGATACAGTATTTATTAACCGACGAGTTGATGAGAACGAAACAAGCATTAACGTTCGATCAATTATTATTAATATAACAGGCTTTTTGCGTCAAAACACCGTAGCATGCAGCAATTATTAACGACTCAAAAGTTATAATTATTCTGTAATTGTAAATTTTATTATAATACTTAATATTTTTTGTTTGTTAAATGACTAAATACATATTTTATTACTATAGTACAGCACCGCTAAAACAATCGGCAGCGGAAACGGCAGCACTCCCGATTTTCCTGACCGCCTAAATGTAAACTTTGATTTCAATGAATTAACAATTTTGATGATCCAAAGTGATATCAATAATGTTAGTACCACCCCAAATCAAATAAACATCGTGGAGAAATCAATGAATGTTTACTTTAGTTGGCTTTGTGTGTCTCATGATTCGCATGAAAAAATCAATTGTACGTAATTAACTAAGCGGTGACGAAAATCGGTTATCTTTACTTTTGCGCATATTTTGTTGCTTACAAAACTGCAATAACGACTTTTAAACTTTGTGATATTAATAATTTCGTATAATTTGTCCAATCATGATTTTCTAATTGAAAACTTTATCATAGTAATAATAATAAGGTTTTTTGGTAACTCGTAGTTTTTTTTACTCCTAATTGTAATATTTTTAAAAAGCTAGATATACTTTTTTTTTTAAGAATTGCATTGCTGCACTTTATCATTTAACAGTATCGCTTTTTTCCCAGTATTATTTATTGACGGTGAACATTTATTTTTTATATTAATCTTAAAATTAATATTTTCATATTCACAGGATCAAGTTCCATCATAAAAATGTTATTACTTATACACTTTAATTATACATAACACCACGAAAAGGATCATATTTAACGCACGGTCCCACAGTCCTATTTTTAATATACTTATAAATTCATTTTAGTGTCAATAACCTCAGTTACAATACAAAATAAACTTAAAGCTTACGTGACGCAGTAAAAAAATTTTTTTTGCTCGTTCAGCTTAACGGAAAATAATGAATAACTATTTAATAGCTAAACGCTTAAAAGAGAATATTTTGAGTATACGTTATTTGTTAATGAAGTCGAATCTTTTTCTTCAACAAATATCATTAAAATATTACTTTTTAAAATCATTATTTTTTACTTGCAACAACTAATGACGTAAATACTCATGTGTTATATAAAAGAAATATATCCGTTCAGTTGGTTCACGAACACCATGGTATAACTACGACATTACTTTCTCGTATATGTGACGAATTGTTACTTATTAATTATTAATCTTACACCGCAAATTTATTTTCATGTGGTAAAAAATCATAAGTACGATACATGTAAATTGCGACTTCTTATTGATAATGAGTATGGCATAATAACATTTAATATTCGGGTACAAACTGCCCTCAAAATATTGAGTTTTCATCGATTTCTATTTCAACACCTATATTGCGCATTATTTTTATATTTTTTATCGTAAAAATTGTCTACACATAGAACGAATCATTTTCCAATTTTTTTAGTAATCAGTTTTAAATTGTTCATAATAGAAAGGACATTAATGTTTGAAATCGTTTTAAATTTATGTTTGAGAGATTCTGAATTTAAAAACGGAAAATTACTCTAATATACATAGTTAATTTTAATTTTTAAAGCTTTATATATTTTGATATTAATAAGCACTAATGAATACAAGAAATATTAGGAGATGGAAGTAAAAAATCAACGATACAATAACCTGTACAAAATTAAAGATTACCTGTTGATGTTCAAATGGACTTAAAAATTATGCTACATCATGAGAAAGAAAAACTTTTATCTTTTTGAGCTTAAATACAGTCAGAAGTTTCAAGAATATTTTTCATTTTAAATTGGAAAAAAATTTCAAACTGTGCGCAGTTTATTATCAACTATCAATTTTTGTTGCTTTTGCTCTGCACAGTACTTAAAATTAGGATACAATAGTAAGAGATTTAGCAGATAATATAAATAAAAGCGATAATGATTAATCGGCAATAAAAACAATAGTAATAATTAGTATTAATAAGATGACTTAAATAATAAAAACTTACATTGAAAAATTGGGTCCTCATGATATCCATGAAATTGTAGTTGAGAATATTATTATAGTAACAATGACAAATCAAATTCATTTTAAAAAAGCATTCAAAAACAACAAATAATAAAAACAAATATAAAACGTAGGGTCTCAGAGTATCATTTGTAATGAACTGCGCTATAAAAAAATCAGTGCAATGTTTAGTAGAGTAAAAAAAAAGATCAATATTATAAGGGTCCATAAGCTCTTACTCAGGTCTTCGTTTATTTTTTTTTCTAGCATATACAGTTCATAATGGCTAAGTCTCTACTTAAAAATTATGAATTTGCATGTCTATCGCTTCGTCCACTTGAAATCAATTGAGGACAATTAATCGTCGTAGTCTCGATTAATAAGCTCCTAAGTACATTTTATTCCTTTCATGTATAAACACAATGATAACAGATAACCAATAAAAAAGGAACATGCATTTTTTCAATATTTATATATATTTTTTGATATATATATAAAAGAGAATCTTTTTGGCAATTAGTGAAAATTTATTTTCCAATTTTTCAACATTATCAACAAATTTTCACCAACAATTACATGAATAAACTTTAAAAAATTATAAATTATAAAATTTGTACGTTATTTAGTATAATTTTATCATTAAAATCTGTCATATTTTCATAACCTATATATTAATTGCCCATTCATTAAAGCAAAACCTTAAACTATCAAATAACTCTCTTAGATTCACTTTTATGGAGTTGTTAAAAATTAACCAAAATTACATCTATATAATAGTAAAAATATACTTAACATACGATTTTTTATTATATAATAACAAGCAATAGAGCAAGATAAGCGAGATAATACAAATAGGGTCAAACATAAATCAATGATTACATTATATGGATACAACTGATTAAAATGATACAAAAAAACACTTCAAGTAAATGACACAAATAATGAAAAAGAAAACATGGATAAAAAAGCAAAGGACAAAAACAATATCCTCAATTGTCGTCCGACTTATTCTCGAGAGCGTTCCACCTAAATAATTCGAATATATCATTAAGTGAAGTTAGCGAGACAAAAAATACGGATCAGTTAAGTACACCGTACTGCTTTCCTTAAATGTTAGATAGATTGCTTTTACGTTTTTGCCACGACATTGCCGACAAAGAGTTGAATTTAGTCCAACAAGCGGTTAATTTTTCAAGTCTAATGTCACAATGCCGATTATATTTAGATACGCGTTTATACATAAAGAGTATTTTTAATGTTATCGTCATTCTCGATGATTATATCGATGATTATATATTTTTATATATTTTTTATTCTTGTAATAAAATTAGTTTAATCATATGCAGTCTAGTAATAATTATTAGTCGTTGAGAGAAACATTTCAACGCATTTATATTTGTTAACTGATCGGAAAAAGATGCTAAAAGTGTTTTACTTTTTATATAATTGTGTAAGTATATATAAATATATAGAGGCACGAAAATAGTAAGTCTTATTTGATTGATTTTGTTTTTCATATTTTTTTGCGTATTTCGTTAATCATACGAAAGCACAGCAGAGGATTAACCGGAGCTACTTGTTCTTAGGTCAATTTATAATTAATAATAATGCCTTTATACAGATATTATAAGTAACGAACGTGTACGTAAAATAATTCAAGGTCCGATTGTATCGAGCCGATTGTCAGAATGTTCAATTCAATTTTCTACTATAAATAAACATAAAAAGTATTCAACTGTATACGAGAATAACTAGTTGGAAATAAAACCACGGATAATTTCGCAGTGGCGCCACAAAACTGAGCAAAAATGCCAAGACGATTCACGCAAAATTTGTGGCACGTGTACGTGGACACTGAGGAGGGCGAGGAAATTCGATCGGTACGTGGGAAGGATCGTGTCGTTAAAAAAGTTCAAGGACGTCTCGGTACAGGGGTGGTTGTCATTTTGGCTCTTTTACACAATTTCGCACAGAACTGGAAATTATTTCCTCCGCAGTTATCAAACGTATGGTATAAACGATGAACGGATGAAGTACCCAAACATCATGCAATAGATGAACGTCGATGACGATTTTCGACAAGTACGTGTTGGTAACGTTAACGTGTACAATCGTTCGTGTGTTTGTGTGGATGTTTGCTGTCCGACAAAAGGGACATGAGAAGAGAGAGAGATAAATAAGAGAGAAAGAGAGAAAGAGAGAGAGAGGGTGAGAAAGAGAGAGAGAGAGAGATTCAAATACACTAAAAGTACAAGCACAGTACTACTCTGCATTCATGATAGTTTCATATAGCTAATTCTTAAAATCCAACCGCCGAAACACAATGATGCGAGTTGTAATCAGTCGAGTACTATAACAATAACTATGACCATTCAACAAAATTACAGATGACGAGATTTCGTTATTTCGGCAATCGTTTAAACGGTATAATCAACAGGTATAAATATATACATTGTACAAGAGATGACCAGAGTAGCAAGATTATGAGAGATATAGTTTCGTTTCATTCAGTATACGTCTACGTGAGTAGAGATAGATATACATTTATAAATATAATGATTTGTCTGTATGTTATGTATATATGTATTCGTAGAGGCACTAGATACACAGCTTAATTATAAATGTAAAATGACGTGGAGAGGGTTGCGTCTAAGAAACCAAGACTAACCTGGAGTGTTTCTTATTACTTTTTTTTTTGGTAATGAATTGATTCTGTCTGTCGTTGGTTTTTGGAAAGAGATGATACAGAAACAGGTAGCAGAGAAAGAGATATTATACATATAACGTATATATACGCAAGGATTTGATTTAGTTTTTCATTAACCATTTGAAAGACAAACAGTGAGTAAGTTTTTTTTTTCACGAGATAAACTACGGGAAAAAAATGTATGTCGAGATACGTTAACGTGTGTCTACTTTAGAAAAAAAACGAGACGAGACGTTTTGAGTTATAATCGTCCTCAATAATTTTTAGATACAAGTCTCGTGGACGAATTTAGGCAGTTCCGGGATTACAAGATTGTTAGCGCTCGATCTTAGCGAATTGTTAGTCGCGTCCTCTTGCTGGGGCGGCGACTGCGCCTGCCGCCCGTTGTTCTGATGCCGATGATTATGATTAACGGTGCCCGGCACGTAAAGCAACAGCGGCGAGGACGCGCCCTTCGCGCCGTCGATATCGGCGTTGTTCGCCGTCGTCGTTGCCGTCTGCTGCTGCTGATGCTGCTGATGCTGATGCTGATGCTGTTGCTGCTGTCGTAGGCGCTCCTGCTTATTGGCCCCCTGTGCGTCCGCATCGATATACATGAAGTCTGATAAGGGCTTGGGCCCGGTGTGGCTACGCGAGCTGCGCAAGCTGTGCAAACTATGGACGGAGCGACGCTCCTCTAGGTCTTCCAATGTCGATCTGAACGCTCGGATTACCCGAAGCTGTAACGAGAAGAGAGCACAAAGCGGGCCCACGTGGATTGGTTGTTTAATTTGTTTGATTTTTGTTTGATTTTTGTTTTTTTAAATTTTTTTTTACACTTCTAGGTGAAAGTATATAAGGGGGGGAGGGACATGTCACACAGATGAGACAGATATATAGATAGGGTATATAAGAGAGACAGAGAGAGAGAGAGAGAGAAGTATATATTTGAGTAAGACACAGTGACACAGAGAGTAATTCAGACTTATACGTAAGGTATTGAAGTACAGAAGAGGATAGATCGAAAGTATCGTGTATTAATATCGTGATAGACTTTATTTTTTTTGGTATTGGCAGCGAAGAGAGGAAGTGATGAAGTTTACCGCAATACCGAGAAAACGAGTGAAAGGCCGACAAAACATTTTTTCCTACTTCGAGTGTAGCCTCTTTAGTTTGTTTGGAAAACTCCCCTTTCTTTTTAAGGACGAGAGTTTCCCGGCTATATATATCCTATCTTCGACGTGATTTTTTTTTATTTTATGGCAGTATAACTGTAATGAATTTCGCTTGTTGGTTCGAGTTGTTTCTTTAAAGCTCTCGTCGAATGATATGCGTATTTTTCTATAATGTGATTGCTTATGCGGCACTAAATTCAAAAAAAAAAAAAAAGAAAATAATATCGATGTAATTTTTTGACATTACATAACTCGTAATCCAGTTATAGTATGGATCTACGATTCTCTGCACAAACAGCGAATGTCGACCGTGTAATCTTTTAGCGGCGAGGTAAAAAAAAAACAACAACATTAGCCATCCGTCATTTGTCGATGACTTGTTAATCTGTCAATAAATCTATTATTGATTATAATTTTTTCATTAGCTGGTCGACATGCACAGTGCATAAGATTTCAGCAATAAAATAAAACAGGCGCTTTTTTTAATAAGTGCGGATTGCATTGGTGTAGTATATAATAATAATAATAATAATAATAATAATAATAATAAAAATAATAATAATCATAAAGGGGAGCGAGGAGTCGCAAAATTATTATAAGGAAAAAAACGTAAAAATCCGTTAGGTCACTGGCACAAATACGTACCTATTTTTTGTTCACTTAATGATGGACACTGCCGTCTTACGTACTGTATTGAGTTATATTGATTTGTAGACACACACACACACATAGTCCAGCATTGAGAGACGAGCCACTCCCAATCGGTTCGAGGACTTTGCGTCTTCCAGATTCAACAACTGGATGCACGATGGCGAGTTGCTCAATTCTTTGCGAGTAACGATATTTGTTGCACGAATATCTCGACGCACTGAACGTAAAAGATTATCGACCGATGTACTGATATTTTCTTAACATATTTGGCACAGTGAATAAAAAAAATGTAAGCTTTGCGGTCGAGCTTTTTTTTTTAAATCCATTGAATCCTTGATTAGGAGTAACTCATTCTCGCCGCTGTGCTTGGTGTAAACCTATTTCAAGTATTTAAGCATAATAAATTATTCTAATTTTCACGATTTTATTGATCGTGCAAAAGTAGCATACACGTCATGCAATATAAGTAAATATATTATTATTTTTTCTAACACGTATATAACCATAATTTTTGTAATTAATACTTAATTTCTAGTTTAAACCTTGTATTATTATTTGATATTATGATATATAGTTCCACTGATCTATCATAATTTTACTTATATTATCAATTCCATGAATCTGTATGGAAGTTTTGTATGATATAATGGTCCGCAACAGTCCTGAACCGAGTTACATTTTTTTTGCTAAAGTTTTTGGGGTAATAGTTTCATGATTCAAGTACAACCATGATACCTGTTTTATCATTTTTGTTCAAGACAAATAAGTAATAAAGAAAAAGAATTAGAAAAGATTGATAGAAAAAGACCTGTTTTTTTAGTATTATTGTATTATAAGAGATATAATAAATAATATATTTTGTTAGAAACTACAAAGATTACCTGAACTTTGAGCAATTGGTTTTAAATATTTTTCTCATATAGTATTGTTTACGAACTCGAAGTAACGACTTATCAACTGTAAAATGTAGTCGAAATGAAAAATAGTAAATTCTGAAACTTATACATTATTTTTTTTTCTTTTATGAGAATATTTATGAACAGAACTTTGTTATAAATTTTATATAAATGGACAATAAAAAAAATTGAATTTTATTTTTATGAAAAATAGATGAATAGAATGATGTTAATAAATGAAAACATTTAGAAAAAGTAGTTAAACTAACACACAACAAATAGATCATGAAATTCTTTCATTTTTTAGTGCGCATTATTAAATAGGTGCATTAGTTTAGAAAAAGTGGTAAAAGAAAAAACATTTTCACAGTGGTGTAAAACACAGAAGATAGTAATTTTTTGTTATATATTCTCAATAATGAAATGTAATATTTATAGAGGAAAATTGTTTTCGATTTGAAAAATATATTTTAATTTTTTTATTAAACAAAATTAGCTTTGAAAATTTTTTTTGTTTTTTTTTGAAAATTGAGTATTAAAAAAATAGTCACAATTATTGCGCGAGCGCATAAACACATTGCACATTGAGTTATTGATAACAGAATAAAAATTTAAATTGAGAACAAAATTAAGTGCAAACACTTATGACTTGAGTTGCAAATATGAGGTAAAAAAATATCGTAACGTGACGTTATAAAAAGTCCGTTAATTCTTTCTTATTTCATGTAACCCATTGACGAATTCAGCTAACAAAAAGAGACACTATATATATGCACTTCCTTTTTATAACTGCAAGACACTTGGGTTAAGAAATTGCTTCATATGTAAATCGAGCACCCACAATATTTTCCTAACATTAATTCACACAGCTAACACCGACGGCTGAACGTTCAGATGAATAATAATAATAAAAACATTCAAATATGAAAATTGACGCTATGCTATAAGCAACTGGGCACATTCATTTAAACGAATATATAGAGAAACGAAAGAGAAGTTGGCAAAATCGAGCGGCCCCAAATGTCGAGATTCCGGCAGTTTAATTGCGTCGTTTGCCCGGACTTCGGAGCTTTAAGCCTACATTACACACCTCCCTTGTTCCACCTCGGGATATATAACTATATGATTTACGATAGACGATATCGCGCTCGCTATATATGCACGTATGCACTTGCCACACGTGCGATCTATCGATATGTGTGCATGTCGCGCGCGAGAACGTATCTTGCGCTCGACCTGTTCTCGATATATACCGAAATTGTACGTAAGCGCAATGTACTATTGTCTTTCTCCGCTATTCCTGAGCACCACATCCCATTTCGCCACCCGACAGTTGGAAAAATTTCTTATGCGGTATTATGAGCCACGCCACTCTGAGCATCGAAGGGATATTATTTAGTTGCGCATTCGGCGAATGAGCGGCTGCCATTGAAAAAAATTTGAAAAAAAAAAAAGAAATATATTGCGATGAGTCGAGGTACGAAAACAAAAGTATAACTGCTAGAAAAGCAACTCAATAATGGGCGCTTTCTTTGGTCGCAAAAACGTTAATTGTTTAACAGACAAGAGAAATAAAAGTATATTGTAAAATACACAAATCAGACACAGTCGTATACCTAGATAAAATAAATTCAACTAGATTATATAAGTGAGCGGTGATGAAATTATTTTACGCTAAAACAATGTAATATAATAATGATAATTATAAAACATTCAAACAAAATCGTCAAGAAAAAACTCTGAGCACGGTTGCAGTGCTTTTTGGCAACATGATTCTGACGTTAGTTGTTATCATCCACAAGATATGTTTAATAAAAAAATTTGCACTACTCAAACTTTTGAACGTTTTTTTTTTTGTTTCTCTCAAGATAATAAACAAAGGATTTTCAAACGATCATCTGTTTTATTTGCCATTCAATTTTTAGCACTGGGATAAAAACGTATGATGGTGGAATTGGCGAGGACGGTAGAGGCTCTTTTTGTGAGTAAAAATCAGATCCAACAAAATGGTAGCTGGTATGTAGATAGAAGGTTTAAAATATAAAACTGGGAATTAAAAAAAATATATATAATCACTGCAAGAGCGCCAAAAATAAGAGAAAAACAAACGAACGAGAATACATATGGTAATAATGAACATGGACGTATGGTTGAAATTGCGCGAGCAGATCGGCCATACAATTGATTTATTTTGTTCCAGCGCAGGCATGCACAGAACGCAAACAGCTAAGAAAACACTGCATATACATATCAATCAATTATTAATTTGAAAAAAAAATGTATAAAAAATGGTAAGATTATAAATATTGTAAAAATCACAACAGGCCAATCATAAATATGATGAGTAGCAGATTACAGATAAAAACTGGAGTAGTAATCAGATAAGAGAGTAATTTTGAAGGGTTTGTCAGATGAAGTTTGAGGAGGAACGATAATAATTGATTATTGTGTAGTAAGAATTTTCGGTAAGAAACAGTTGGGTAAGTGAGGTAAGTTGGCTTTTTCATTCTGATAGTCAATTGCTAAACACTCAATTTTGGGCAAAAAGTTCAGTATCGACACACGCAGCGCATACGATACTTTGACATCAGCTAAAAAAAAGGACTACCGCAGGTTGACGGTCGTACAAGTTCATTTCGTTTTTCGAATCCAATGCTTTTCAGGGGAAATTTTTCATTTTTTTTTTCCAAATAGAAACACAATAATTTTGACGATTGCTGAATGCTTTCGTGTTCCGACCGTCACACCTAATAAGCTAGACAGAAAACACATCGGTGCAATAAACCATCATGTTTCACGTTACGACAAAAATGTACATATAAATACACGTTAGAGAGAAAAATGCGGAGTAATGTACAATAAATGAATTGTTAAGATTAAGAAAAAGTCATGGCCAAATCATGTAGCATTATTGTAGAAAAGGAAATTTTGTGACAGATTATGGTTACAAAATCAGTTACACGTCACCATTTTTTTTTTTTTTTTTTGTTAAAAATCAAGATCTTGAATCGTCAAAAG